AACACCTCGGTCTACTGTAAGCGACTGGCAGTTCCTTCTTGGTCAGTTACAGACTGTGGCGAGGATCCTGAGCCAAATGATTGAATCATTTACTGTCGACGGGTTCAGCATATTCGGTCAAAGCGTTTATCCAACCAGACGTTGCAAATCCTTTATTAACATCCCCGTTATTGAAAAGATATCAGAGCTGGGTTATGCACGTCCCATCCCCCCGTTTTGGGAGATGAGACGTGCTGATTGTATTGAAACTGATGATTTCTGCCATCAGACAGAGGAAGGTAACAAATCTGACATTAGATTGCATTTTGAATTTGTTGGTTTCAACTAAGGATTCAACTAAATCTTGCCTCATCTTGAAACTCTTAAAGTGTTGTAGAAAACTCGTACCATGAAGTGTCACCCTCTGTATTCAGCAGAAACTGTATTGAGGAAATGACCCCCAAAATATCTTATTTTATTACCGAAACCTTGAATACTGGAAATTTTATTTGAACAAGAGTGAAATTGATAATAAAAGCAAAAATGTCTACGCTATTGAGCCTCTTGTACAGATCAACTCTTGAGAAATATTCCTATAGGAAAGCCTTGGTCGGCAGAAGAATATGAAAAATCACAAGAATAAACTACCCTTCAAATGGGGTTAATTCAGTTTTACACATTGATGGCAACAGTATCGGATCAAGTGAGATAACATTTTGAGTTTAGATCCAAGTATCCCAATGGGAAGACCTCGGTCAGCAAAATATTTTAATTACAGGATAAAAAAATAACTTTTGTTTAATTACTAACTACTGTCTAATAAATAACGACTGGTTTCGGTTTATTAAACCATTCTCAAGTGAACTGACGCATTTTGACAAACAAATCCATAAGTATACAACGATACAGTCAATGTTTTTATGTATACATATATAAATTATATTTTCATTCCATGATTTGTTTAAAATGAAGGCATCAAGCGTGTTCTAGACCTGAGCCAAGCAAACACTTTCCGCTTTCAAGTCATATCACAATCTTCGAATAATGTTTCTCTTAGTTGATCACTTAAGAGGCCAATTATAAGCATACTGCAAACCAGTGACTCTTCCAAATCACTGAAAGCACAACTTATCGCTTTGTTTTTCAAATCTGTCGTGAACTGTTGTAAATTTTCACCTTCCAACTGCTTCCTTGTGAAAAACTTATGTCTTTCATACACTAGATTCGTTTGTGGTTGAAAGAAATTGTCAAATTCGCGTATCAAGGGCTTAATCCTGTTTTGTTCTTCTTTTTTAAATTAGAATGTATTAAATATACGTTTGACCTCATCGCCAATATACTGTAAAAACTGTACACATTGTACATCTTTAATTTTCCAAAAGGAATATTCAATAACAATGGTTCATTCGCAGCGCCATGTGATGTTTATTAAAACGCCATTGATCATAAATTTTCTTTATTTTTGCGTTCAATAGAGAAATGCAAAACATCGAGTACAAAAAATGCATACTATCGATAAGTGGCCACATTGAAAAATATGCTGCGTAATATGAATACGAAAATAAAGATATGTATTCAACTTTTTATCAATTTATAGAAACACTCCAATTGAAAGTAATTTGGAGTCTCCTGCAAAAATTCTGATGTCCAGGCAACTCAGAGATATATTACCGATTAAAAATACCTGTCTTAGGCCAGCCAAAAATAACTTTGCAGAAGACGGCAAAATCAACAGAAGCAATTTTAGAATAGAAAAACCAAACCTAATAGACATACTCTCAGAAATAACGAAACTGTTTTAGTTAAAAGGAGACTAGAGGACAAAAAATGGGAAAAAGGTGTTATAGTTTCTAAATCAGAAATTAGACCACGATCTTACAATGTTAAGTTTGATAATGGTAGTTTATTGTCTAGAAATAATCAATACATTAACAGATATCCTGTTCATCCCAACTGTGATAATGCAGTTGAGGATTCCAATGATACTGAAATCTCAAGTGAATCTAATAATGATGATTCAATCGCTAATGAGCAGATACAAGCTACGAATGAAAGGAATAAAGATTGTTTTGTACTCACCACTATTATTGCTTGTTCATATTCATTACGTTCATTCAATATTACAGTCAGATCTTCACATATCTATAATTATATTAGTTTTGGTATTATCGATTATATTTTGCTCGTTATATTTCATATAGGGGAATTTGTTCAACAAGGGGAATGTCATATATACAGTAATTACGGTCCTGTGTATAATATCGATGGTATGCGTTTTTGTACTCGATGTTTTACATTCCTCTATTGAACGCAAAAATAAAGACAGTTTATGATCAATGTCGTTTTAATAAACATCACAAGGGTTAAATAATATCCAAAGAGAAGATTATCTTATCAAAGTTATCGCCAATTCAGATCTGTATAGGTATGCTATTCCCCATTTTAATATTTCCATTTAAGTTTGACATCATGGATACTGAAATAACAAATCATAGCCATATTCATAACAGAGTGGTGAATAATTAACCTTTCATTTTCATATAAAACAATTGATTAATTTTGCAGTATGAAAAATTAAATATTACATCTTGTGGGTTGAACGCACCAATTAACAATTAGCCAAATTTCTGGTTAATGTGGGTTTCGAATTGAATGGAAAGAGGTCAATGTTGCAGACAATCCAAATAATTATACGTAAATGGGTGTCACCTTTCGAAAGCGAGTAAATGTAAAATACATGTTCATTCATAGAGAGATTTACCACAGTTCTATTTCATATAAATGATATTGTGCAAACAATTATATTCTCAAGCATGTTTAGAACAAAGAACAACCTCTGTTGTTTATGCTTACCATACAGACTTGTTGAACTTTTACCTTTACTTTGATATTTTCAAATTGAATTTTTACATTTCCAGTAAGTTCACTTTGAATAAGTTGCTTCTCTGAATTGCTCCCTATTGACTTCCGGTCGAAAATCAATATTTGTTAGCTACAACTCTCAAACCGTTTTGATAAAAATATGCTTACAGTATTGCATGACATTTTTCTTCAAATTTATTATCTTTTCGACTGCTTTTTATTGTTACATCTTGGTAAATTTTATTATAAATATGTTTTTTTTTCTCGAGAACATTTTTCAAGTACCTATTTTGAATCCTTGGAGAGTAGCTTTTACAAATAGAAGATAAATGTCGGTGATACTCAGATTAATGAGGAATCTTTATCGCATCTGTTTGATATAATAGTCTACATGTAGGTATTTTTATGGGTATCAAAAACATTTATCCCAATTGTGTGACGTCAATGGCAGTATTTCTCAAAGTATGCGCCGTGGCGCCCTGGGGCGCCGTGGAACCTTTACTGGGGCGCCGTGGGCCACGGGTGAGTCTCAAGGTACAATTTCACAACATAGATAACTGAGAGTAAAGGTAATACGTCGGTACCTATTAAAAAAAATCCTCTGATAAAATGATAATATCGGTAATTGCAAAATGCAATCCGTTCAGACAGCAACCTACCTACTTTTATTAATTAAATATCTAGTGTACTCTTTACGTTCGGGGCGCCGCGATAACCTTCAAAAAACATAAGGGAGACGTGAATTCGAAAAGTTTGAGAAACACTGGTCTATGGGTTGATGGCTTCGGCGTGTTATGAAGTGTGTACATTAGTGTGAATACATTACATATTCCGGTGGTTTCAAATTGTGAATTGAATGATCGATTGGATGATTTCCAAGAGTTGAATCAGTTTGGCAAAATGTTCAGATTTTATAAATCCTTTTTGTTCTTGTACTGGAAGATGGTATAATTTTGAATTATTGTATATGGAACAAAATTGAAAGAGTGTAATTTTGGTAATAGGTGAAACTGAAACTTCTGGTATAGAATACACCAAAAAAATATAAGCACTTTTTCCAGTCACCATAAATGCAATACTCTTTTTGACACGCGTTCCACCAACCGAGTTGACATCTTCAGGAGATGAAGAAAACTTCGAGGAAAACTCATTCCTAACTTAAAAATGCCTATGTTCTTATATTTCTATTATAGAAATTGATTAACATCAGGGATTTTGAATGAAATATGTCATTCTCGGGAAAACTACAAACTTATTTAGGACATACTTGAGTTATGTGAGAATGATCTATGGAAAAAATAAAACATATCTTCCTACTCTACTACTAAGTATAGACCTGGTCATTATATCCACTAATACCTGCGATTTTCATTTAGATTTTTTTAAGTGTACCAAAGACCAATAATACAAGATTACATTTTCAATTTCACCTTAACTCAAACTCGAAACTGTTTTCCTTTGAAACTTTCAGTTTACTCCGTACCTAGTGCCGATACCGTAAAAATCGTTCTACAAATCTTATTGCGTGACTGAAGAAGTTAAAAAGTCAAGCGAAATTCCGAAGATATTGTAAACGTGGATGCAATCGTTGACACGATTCTTATTTATGGGTTTCGAAGATTGAGTCGGATTTTTACGATACAACCACCAGAACTACAATACTCGTCTCAACGCATATTTCACCAACCAAGTTGACGTCTTCAAGACTTTATTGTCGTCTCCTGAAGATCCCTATATGGTTGGAGAAACGCTCATCAAAAATGAAGAAAACTACATTGTCATCTCTTGAAGACGCCAACTTGATTGGTGAAACGCGCGTTTTGGATATTGACTCTGAATTACAGTCTGACACGTGGGAGTTCTGGTGACAAAACAGAAGACATTTTGTCGAGATACGTTTTATTTAAAAGTTTTGTTATTGTAAGTAATCTGCACTAATGAAATATTAAGGTTTTCTTCGTCGAAGTAACAAAGTTTTGTTAGAAACGAAGAAACCATACTAACTTACTCTATATCCTTATTAACAGATGTATTAACAGATGCATTAATAGATGAAAACATTTACAATGGAAATTGACATTCTCATGTTGATTTGAATGAAAAACTTGCAATAAATCATCTCTAATTAGTATTATCATCATCGTTTTTATTGTTTACAGGTACGAAGAAAATGGAGTACAAGACCAGGCAATGGCACGAAAAATGTTTCTGCTGTTGTGTTTGCAAGGTGCCCATTGGAACTCAGAGTTTCATTCCTCGCGAACAAGAAATTTACTGCTCCAAATGTTATGAAGAAAAGTTCGCCACGCGTTGTATCAAGTGTAACAAGGTAGGAAATAGTTTTTAGATGCCCCTCAATTGTTATTGAGAAAGGAATTATGACTGAGTCGAATAGGTAACTGATATATAGAGGCATTCTTTCAAGAAAACCTTAGAAGAACTCATATGCAGCGAATTTAACTATCAGTTTCACTTCTCAAATTTCGGCAATTTTGATATATTTAAGATTTCACTTCATACTATCTATAATAACTTTATCAAATCGCCTAGCTATTTAGGGTTAAATTTTTGTATAACGTACAAAAAATATGAAAAAATTTTCCATTTTATGATCTGTTGAAAAATATATAGTTCATTGGAAAAACCAATTTTTTTAAAAATAATTTTTGCCAAACTAACTGACTGTTATAAAAAAACACATTTAGCTGAGGCACCAGTCAATCTAATAATAACACTGACACAAACATGACTCCATCTTTGACGGAAGCACCGAACTCTTACGAAGGTTCGAAATAGATGAACACTTCAATCTAGCAAACCACCATTATAATATTCATGCAGTCATTGTTCACACGCCAATTAATTTTTGTTGTTGTTTTATAATTTTTTGATTTGTATTTTAGAAGTTTAAGTATATTTTCTTATCATTTCTGGGATTATCCTAACGAAAACAAATTTTGACTTTTTTAGATTGCAATAATTTTATAAATTGGTTTGTGTGTGACTGTGAGTATTCCTAGAATGTAGAGCAGCTTTCGATCTGTTTAACCAGTAATTACAATACAGTTATCAGACTCTTACTACAATTTACTATAGGTAGATACATGGAGACGCTTTTCTTTTGTTATAATAAACTATCTCACAGCCTAATTTTTAATTTTCTATATTTGATTAGTTAATTTTTTGCTGGTTTTCAGTACCTACTGACAGTATTCCAATCATTGAAGTATAATTGAGGGCATCCGCCAAGTCATAATCTTTTTGATAATGTTTACTGCAGCAGTTGTGAATGAATCGAGAAACATAAAAATTAGCAGACTTACACCACCGGAAAGTAACTTTGACTTGGTGAATATTCATCATGAAAAGAATCTTCGAGAATACAAGTAAAATAAAAAATATTTTTCAATTCCAAACAGAAAAGTTTTGTTTGTCTTTTTTGTGATGAATGAACCCAAAAAGTAGTTGAGAAATGATTTCATGTATTGAAAGCTACATTATCAGCAAGTAACATGAGATGTAAATTATTTTCGATAAAAATAAGTATACCTGCAAAAATTGTAGTAATATAACCCAAGATATCAAGATATTGATACGAAAACTTCGCGAAAAATTCTGGTGAACATAATGTACTACTACATATGGTACTCATTATTGCCAACAAAAAAGTCGGCAAGGAAATATGTCCATAGTTGAGTCACAATTAGAGCGTTATTGTTTAAATTCCAGCTTCCGTGCGAAGCTGGAATGGGTCGCTATTTTGAAATGAAACCAAAAAGTCCTTATTTTGAAGCAGTTTCATTTTTGCCCATTGTGTTATTTATTTATCAGAATAGTAAACTCAATTTCGAATTGACAGAAGAATAGCTAATAATATGTGAACTATCAAAAACAATTTAGTTTTTTCTCGAAGTGTAAGGTGGTAGATGTTTTTTAAAAATCATAAAATTCAGGATATTAAGCTATCGCTTACGTGTTGATAAATGAAATTATTTCAATCAGCTGAAAAAAACTTCAATAATATTCTTCTGAAAGAGTATGTCTCTACAATATGCCAGACCCAAATACATTCGATCTCGTTAATAATACATAGACTGGCCTGACTGAGACGACTCTAATATTACTCATATATTATATAAAAAAAATTATATGAACCAAAAACAATTAAAATCAAAAGCTATCCTGCCATGAGACAAGTTGAAATTGATACGAGATTGTTCACATGAAAAATTACCCATATTACGTAACTTGCCATTTCAAAAAAGCAGGTAATAATTTGCCGTATACAAGGTGTTTTTTAAACATGCGGGATACGGAGCGAAAAAGAATTTAGACAATAATAATTTTGGTAATTTTAAAATTATTAACGTAGCCGAAATAAAAGTATAGCGTACTACACTGGACCCACCAAATAATAAAAAAATCTAACAATTCCGTTGGTAAATTGATGAATGTAGCGAAACTTTCTATGTTTTTTACCACTTTTCAAACTTATACAATAAACAGTTTATTGTATAAGTTTGAAAATGTCCGTATAGGACGAAACTGCAGTAACGTTACTTACAAATAAAAGTGGTGAAAAACATAGAAAGTTTCATTTCTGTTTTCTTCAATTCCGTTGGTACCTATCAACAACATTCCGATTACCACAAACGGCTGCAGACATTCAATTTGCTGGGTGTAACGCAATCAGAAACGATCCTGGTGTTTTTGAAAGAGTTCGTGAGTCGATGAAGAGAAGATTGGATTCTTGCATCCGAGCAGGGGTAGTCATTTTCAACAGTTCTGGTAGATTAAGAAACATTACATGTAATTTTTGGTAGTAAATTGTTATTGTAGAAATTCTTTTTCGCTCCGTATCTTCGAAACAAAGCGCCCTATCAAAAATCATAACACGACAAAATATCCCTAGAATAGTCCAAGGAATAGTCCCTTAAATTTTTGCCGCATGTTTAATAAACACCCTGTAGAAATTATTACATCATAATTTTGAATGGTTGGCTGTTATGTTATAATCCTTACCAGAATTTCAGCATGCATTTCTTTTTCAGGTTATTACCAGTGGAGGAGTGACGTACAAAAACGAACCTTGGCATAGGGAATGCTTCACCTGCACACATTGCACAAAGAGTTTGGCAGGTGAACGATTCACAAGCCGCGACGAGAAGGCTTATTGCGCAGAATGTTTTGGAGAATTGTTTGCAAAACGTTGCACTGCTTGCACCAAACCAATTACAGGTAATTTATCATTTGTAAATAGGAAGTTACAATCAGTTCTGAAACGATAATTATCAAAATCTATGTTCAACAATGTGTCTGATTGTCGAAATTTTCTAAAACGTATTAGTAAAATTGAATGTGGCTCAGGTCTCAAATCCTTTTCAAAGACTTCTCTCTGAGCCAAACGTGGCAAGACCAAATACATTTATATTAAAAACTTTGCGGGACTTTTTGACCAACCCAGTACACTAACCAGACAGTCAATTGGAGTTATCATTATCAGGATTTCTGGTAAAAACTTCTCTCAACTTATTAATAACGTTTTCATTTCATCCTTCTGAAACTTGGATATTTTTTGATTCTCAAGAGCGTTTAGAGGTACAGTTTAAAAAGAAATTGAAAGCATTTTTTGACCTCATATTCTTAGTACCACAACATATTTTCTGCAAAATCTTGAACTCTCTAAGGCCTGGAAACTAACTGCAAACTAATTACTTGATTAGGGTACTGATTTGATACATTATCAACAGTCTGCTTTAATGATTTCGATAGTGTGAAATAGCTTGTAGCTGAGTACTCTCTGAATGATTTTATTCATGAAATGTTTTGTAGTTAGTCATTTACTTATTACAAAAACATTTTTGCTAATATTTTTTTAATTTCATCAGGTATTGGAGGCACCAAATTCATCTCTTTCGAAGATCGTCACTGGCACAATGATTGTTTCTTCTGCGCTTCGTGCCGTACTAGTTTGGTAGGACGTGGCTTCATTACTGATCAAGATGACATCATCTGTCCCGAGTGCGCTAAACAAAAACTGATGTAAATGTCGTAATTAGTTGAAGGAGGGGTCATGACTTAAACTCAAACTGATTTTCATCAAATTTCATTTGTTGAATCCAAAAAAAAATATTTTCATCCAGTGAAATTTAAGTAGCAACAAAATTTTTGAATGGATTTTATATATCGTAAAGTTCAAAGCTTTGGTCACAAATTTAATTCACTTTGAATTCAAATACCATCAAAATAACATTATTTTTAGACCAATAACAAAAAATGAATAGACATATCATGCAATGACTCACGAAAAGTAAATTAATATTCGAATAATCATACAAGTCACCTATTAGTATGAATATATGTATAGAAATAGAGAATATAAAGAATGAATTGATCCCTCCTTACTGAATGAACAATAAACAGAAGTTGTTTCATAAGTGTATTGATATGAAAAAAAATCATACAAGTTTTTTTAACTATTTACACATTTTCACTTCCTAAATATATAGGTTGATATTGGTATCACAAAAATGACAATTTTGGAAAAACTTGAATTAATGAATTCCCCAATATCTTCACATATTTATTACATACACTAACACATATACACACGAAAACAAAAAAAAAACATTTTAACAAATCTAGCAAATGAAAAATTTTGTTTAAATATATATTATTTCTGTCCAATTGCAGTTATTTCGCGGGAACAATTCAGTCATTTCCCCCTTCAAAAATCCTTTTAATCATTAGTGAAAGCATATTTATTTTTCTAATATTTTTTTCGCTTTAGCTTGTTTCAACATATAATGAGTTCAAGAGCAATATATGACGTAGCCATATTCTAAATAAGTAAGAAAAAGGTTGCCTTAATAAATATTTATCATATTCTAAGTGTTATATCCCTAGGGATTAAACGTTATATCAAACGTTCTCAATAATGAATAATTATTTACATTTTTAATTTATGGAATTGTTTATTGTAGATAATATGTATACTGCTTCATAGCATTTATGAACATACCGAGCGATTTGGTGCTACTACAGTAGATTAGTAAATTAGTGCAGGTTGTACTTTTAAGTTTTGAAATATTTTAGAAGTTTACATTTTATTGTTGCATAATATGTGTTTTATCCAAGATTTGAAATATATTAACTAAATTGTTATTAATATTTATTCAGGACTTCACAGTTCATGTATATTTTAATCCTATATTTATGTATTGTAACTTTTGGGAATGTTACAACTTGTTATACTGTCAGAATCAAGGGCTTTGCTTCTAGGGTACATCTCATATTTCATTCTGTAATAAATTCTTTAAAAAAACGTATGTGTTTGTATGGAGATTCTTCGAAAATCATATCTACTAATAACAATTGGTAATCGAGAAAGAATATATCAATTATATTTCTGAAATGTAATTTGATTCTTTATAGATAACCAAGAATTTAAAAAATATCACACCCATTGTAGACGAAATATCATGAACAAATTAAAGAATAACGGTTCTAAAGATGGCTCATTCATCTTTTTATCTGCAGGGAAAATAAAAATAAAATTTCGAAACATTCATCTCTCAAAAATATCTACACAGTAGGTTCTGGTAAATGCCTGCTGGAAAACAAATTATTCCCTGGCTATTACCTCACTGGATATTGAATCATATCCGACAGACATTTTTGCAAAATACCTTACCGAGGTCAGTCTCGCAGATGTTTCTTCTTCATTCAGCAGCGAGATCTGAAATTATTCCAGTAGATCACCTACAGACATCAGTGTACAAAAATCCGACCCACACAGCAAAGTGCCTGGAACTCGAAAAATTTCAATGCGGCTCCGCTGCATATATGAAATCTTTGTCTAAGAAAAAGATTATTAACTAGTAAGAGCTCTATCTCATAAACAAAGCCCCAAGTGGGGAAGAAACATCCCATGTACCAATACTCTAACAGAGATCAAAACGTGTCTGAAGATTATATTGAGAGATTGGTATGTATAACATATGTATATGGACAAAACACCAGCACTACAGGAAAATATTTAAGGTGCGATAGGAGCGGTGCTTGTGTGAAACTGGTGATTCACATTGGATTTTAATCGCTGGAGATTTGGAAAGACATTCTCAGGAAGTTTATTACATATAAACGCAGTTCTCCAAATGAAAGAGTTCTCAAACAGTGAAGTTCGAGGTGTACTGAGTTGAACTTCAAAACGATGAGCAGCCACAGTCCGTCGCATATTTCTGATATTTACCGCTCTTGGTGGAATCAAATGAGCCAAGTCACTTGAACACCTCCCTTGAAAGTATTTATAAAAGAGAGAAAAATCTCCAAACTTTCTTTGGTGTTTCAGACTAGCAAGGTTGCTTGTGATGTTCGTGTCTCCTATCAGGCGGATGGCTCTTTTTTTGCATGGAATCCAACAGCTTCTCGGTATGCTTATGGGTGGAGCTCCATATATGAGAAGAATACTCCAAAGAAGGTCTGATCTGAGCTTTATGAATGATCAACAGTTGCTGGGGTGTGTACAGTTTTCTGGTTCGGAACAGTGTTTCAAACTTTTGAGAAGCAGCCTTTGCAATTCCAGTGACATAATTGTGCCAAGACATATTGGTGTCCATTTCGACTCCCAACCGACTCATCAAAGCAGAAAGCGGAATTTTCCATCCTGACATTATTATATCCGATTCGGAGACATTTATCTCATACTTGGGTTTTCGTGGCATTGAATTGAACGTGGTTAATTCCACTCCAATTCGGAATCACCTCTAGATTGTTATTAAGATATGGAACCTCCTGCTGCCAATGAAGATGTGTATCTGCAGCAGATGTCGTGGAATCGAAATGGAATGACGAGACAAGTGTGCTGTCTTCAGCAAAGCAATATATTAGGTTCTTGATTTTTTCCAATAAGTCGTTGATATACAATAAAAAGAGCGTTGGAGACAATATGGATCCCTGGGAAACACCAGCGTTGATAGTTGAAGTATTTGAGAGATATCCATCGACGGCCACTTGCAGAGAATGTTCTTTCAGGAAGCTGGAGAGCCATACACAAAAATGATCCGACAAGCCATAGCATCGAAGTTTGGCCAGCAAACCCTCATGCCACACACGGTCAAGGGCCTCAGAAATATCAAGGGCAAAAGCTCTTGACTCTATGTTTTTCGATTGTGTTATTCCAAATATGGGTGACACACAATAGAAGGTCGCCTGTGGAGCTTTGTTTTCGGAAAACCATATTGATGATCCATCAATATATTGAAAGCCTTTCAGATATTTAAGGAGATGGTGGTTTATGGCTTTCTCCGTGATTTTTGATACCACTGATAGCAAAGCGACTGGTCTATAGTTATTTTTAAGATTTTTCTTGCCCTCTTTAGGAATAGGCTGAACGGGAGCAATTTTCTAACAAGAAGGAGAACCCGTTCCTTGTAAGACAGTTTGAAAAATTTGCAAAATACTGTTGCGAGTTCATTGGCGTACTTTTCATGTATGATGAGGAGCATTTCTTCGGGACCAGACGTCTTGTTGATATTGAGCTGTTCAAAATTCACCCGAATAGACTTGTTGAGAAGTAATTTCCGGCATTGTGGATTTTAGTGTGGGAACGTGGATGGTGCCTTTCCCAGAAAATCGACTGTGAAGAGGGAAGCAAATTGTTAAGCTAGCAAATTGTTAAGCTGTTGTTGCGATTGATCAAAGTTTTGATAAACAGCTTTTGCTACCAACTAGAAGGATCTATACCCGTTGGGATTGGCAAGCAGTTCATCCCTAATTCTCTGATTGTGAAGTTCGTTGCTTTCATTTATTCTAAGTTCGCAGGTGTTGCGAGCATTAACAAACCTACTTCGGTTTTCTTCACCGGCATTTTTGCGCCACTGCCGGTAGGCGCAATCTTTGTTGAACCAAAGTTTGCCATCAGAAGTTCGTTTCATTGAAAAAGAAATATATGCATCCGTGGATGATAGAATAACTTCCGTGATCTCAGAAGCACAAGTTGATAGATCATTAGAGCTGAAACAAACATATAGCCGGGGGAAATTTCGGAAATGGACTTGAAGATCCTTCCTCTCAGCAGATCTGTAATGCCAAACTTTCACGCAATACTGAAATGAGTTTGTGATCAGGAGAGCCCAATGGAGTTCTTACGGTGATTGTGTGAATTTCTGAATTGGTAGTTAGGTTTACATACAGAAGACTAGCATATTTTCTATCACGGTCAGGAATCCTGTTCAGCTCATTTATAATCTAAGTAAGTCCACTGCTTATTGCAAAAACCTCAGCTTCCCGACCTTGTTCGTCGCTGATATTTGAAAATGTGAGCCATTCGATGCTACGAAACACTATCCGTATTAGCCTAACGAAAACCAGGCCACCAAACGCGGACAGCGATACCAAGAATTGCATTTAACGGATACCCTGCGTGTGCGGAGAATCATACATCGGTGAAACTAAGACGCATTGCCGAGCACAAGAAACACATACAGCGAGGAGAAACCAGCATTTCAGGAATAATAGAGCATCAACATAACATCAAGTGGGCTCAAGCTGAAATCGTCCACAAGGAGTAACACTGGTTTAGGAGAAAATTCAAAGAAGCCGCATATAGGTTGTACAACAACGCATTTAGCCAAGCTAGCGTAGAGATACGCAACATATGGAATATGAATAGGTGAAAACACTCGAAAGACCTATTAATAGTCAGATCTTGGAGGAATAAGTCCTATTATCACCCGAAGACGATTTTGAATACTAACAATCGAAATGTCGTGAAGTAACTTGGCTTGGTATCTTTTAATTTTTAGTTTAGTTTTAGCTTTTTAATTTTTTACAGATTCTTTCAGGGATTTCAAATCAATTTATATCATTTAAGACGATGAAAGTCCGAACTAATGAAACTTACTGATTTAACTTTGTTTATTTTTCATCAACAAACATTGATTGGCGCTCCGGGATAACTTGATTGATTCCAGTAGTGCATTTGCTTTTTCAGCTGCAGGATCTATTAATTTTATGTGCTACATTCGAAAATTTCCGTAATATATGTCTGAATAAATATAAAGTATATCCAGCCCTCTATTTCACCTCTTCCGGCCATCCATAAATATACATCTTTATTTTTTCTCTGTCGATACATTCTGCATTCGTTTATCTTTCATTTGATGTGCTGCACATTAAGATCCAAACATTACTAACGAAGATGCGGCTTAGTGCCCTGTTGGCATCGTCTTCGTTTTTTTTTCTTTGTTGACAAATTCTACTTTTTCTTTCCTTTCCATTTGACGTGCTGTACGTGATGATCCAGCAATTATTAACGAAGATGTGGCTTAGTGCCCTTTTGACATGTTACGTCATCTTTGTTTTTTCTCTATCGATGTATTCTGCATTTCTTATTCTTTCATTTGATTGCTGTACGCTACGATCCGATCATTATTAACGAATATACAACTTAGCGAAACACGTTAAGTGATAAATGACTGTCATATTGAAACATGAAAATGGTTACGACAATAATGATGAAACAATAACGAATAAACGCACGCAAAACGGTCGAAACGCCTGCAAAACGGTGGAAACGCACGCAAAACGGTCGAAAACGCACGAAAAACGATCGAAAACGCACGACAAACGGTCGAAAACGCACGCACATACACATCTTCATATGAAATATTAATTCTTTCCCAAATCTAAATATATTTTCCTATATTCGAAATGATAATGACGATTACAACTTCCCTAACATTGTACGGAAATCAAAAAAATGCGGTCAAGTATATAAAATGAGTCAATTTCGGTCCCGACAAAACTTACGCTATAAATACCCATAATTCGCAGTTACTTCAATATCTTACGTTGGTGTAGAGGCTAGGGACAATGTCTACCACGCGGACGTCCTGGATTCGATTCTCATAACTATAAACTTTTTTTAATTAGGAGCACGTGACTGGTACGTGACAAGGGGACCCGAGAGGTGATGCGGAGTCTCAAAAGGGCCTAAGCGGTGATGTGGAGTCCCAAGGAGGCCCACGCTCTTTGAATATCTCCGATACTCATTCCATCCTTCTCTGCATCGATTACGTTAGACGTTTCTCTCTTCCACTCACTAAAGTCTCTCTCTGAAATACTTACCAGCGACGCACGACCTTGAAGTGTGCTAGGAGCAAGCTTGTTCATCTACTGGATTTAAATTTCCCGCTCTATGCGCGGTAGCTTCTGATTGGTCGACTGTATGACGGTAAAAGTGGAAAAGTGGAGGTGGTCTGAAGTGGGCTTTGAAGGCTTAGGCTCAGTTTACACATACATACCTGGACGTCTGGCAGAGAC